ACTGGAATGAAGTGAAATACTACCTCCGTCCCTTAAAACTTTGCCAAGTTTGACCGGCACGGAGAATAATAAAGTTAAAAGTGTGTGGTTGAGGTTTGTGCAGAGGAGATAGAAATAACAGGAACCACAAAATAATTGATTAAATGGGTAAGTGACAATGTTTTTTGGGACGTCCCAAAAAAAAGATTGACAAACTTTTAAGGGACGGAGAGGGTATAAATTAAAATACTGTTTTCGTACGGACGAAGTCTATTTCAAACACTATATTTGGACAGTGTTCTCAAAAGTCAAACTGGGCATTCATCATTCATGAAAATGGAGCGTGAAAAAAAGACAAAGGAAAACATGAATATATTCTATTTATATATAAGAAAAGAGATAGCTCATTAAAAGACATGTGTACTCTTCATTAATCCTAAGTGTCTATTTCTCCTCAATTTGCTCTTTAGCTATAAGAATGACACGTGGAGACTTTTTTTTACTTCATCAAACTTCAAAAGCTACGAACGAACCAAGGAAAGGGCCAAGGGAGATAGAGTTGTGGGGTCCATACTATAAAAAACCCATTTAAAGTGTTATAACTTTTTCATTTTTGCTTCAATTTTTTAAAAAAATATATCAAAATTCATAATTTTTTGTGATCTTTCATTTGAGATCAATATTGAATATATAAAAATATATATTTTTTAACGTTCTCTATAATTATGTACGTAGTATAAAATAAAATTATACTCCCTCCGTCCCAATTTGATGGTCCTGTTGCGGTTTATGAGACTTGATCGACGATAAAGCAAATGAATTTCTGTTCGCACTCAAATTATTTGTAGCAAATAAAATTTACATATTCAGAAACTACATTAAAATTTTTACAGTCTCAAAAACCTAAATCAAATTTCATAAAAAATTGATATAAAAAGTAAATGATTAAGAATAATTTGTGTTGATCAAGTGAATATGAACATGAACTAGGACCATCAAATTGGGACGGAGGTAGTATATATTCATATATAAGAAAGGTGTAGACTATTAAAAATATGATTTTAGCCTCAATTATTATGTAACATGTCCACCTACAAGTGATAGAGAGCATTGCTCTGCTTATGTCATGTGGCTTCATCTTTTGCGTTTTTGTTATTTACTTTACAAAAAATGAATTATGGAAATAGAAAATATAAAAACTTGGCCTACTAATATACGTCATCTATCTTAATGAAAGTCCAGCCTTTAATATAGTCTTACTTTTAATATAAAAAAAACAATATACTCTCATTATTAAAGTGTTATAAACCTTATTCCTTCCTTATTATGATGTCATTTGAAATTCAAAAAATAGCAAATGAAAATGATAACCACATCGGGTGCTAAATTGCTAATAAATAAAACTTCTAAATTTAATTAAATTTAATAATATGGTATTCTTTCTTTTTAAGAGACGGGACGAATATGAAAAAATTGATTAAACATTTTTGGTTTGTTTTAAACTGGTCTGATCTATTTATGTTTAGCTTGATTTAAGTAATTTTTATGTTTGAATTGACTGAAGTTACTATAGGTAGTCATTTTAAACTACTTTTCATATAATTCTTTTCTTTATTTTATTAATACAATATATTTTAAATTAAATTTATCCATAAATAAATAGATTCAATTAATTTAACCACTTCTCTCAGAACTTTATCCGTTTGAACTGATTCAACTAATTTCACTTCTACTAAACAGTCTCTAAAATCAAAATCAGGCCATGAAAGAAGAAAATCTAAAAATAATAAATTTATTTCAGAAAACTTTCTTAAATTAAATTTATCCATAAATCAATAGATTCAATTAATTTAACCACTTCTCTAAGAACTTTATCCGTTTGAACTGATTCAACTAATTTCACTTCTACTAAACAGTCTCTAAAATCAAAATCAGGCCATGAAATAAGAAAATCTAAAAATAATAAATTTATTTCAGAAAACTTTCTTAAATTATTTTATGATTTGAAGTGCACTGCTTTGAGCCTTTGATAAACCGTCTCACAATTGAGCGAGATAATTTTCTATCACATATATAATGCTTTTATGTATAAAATTTTAGGTATAAGAAGATTAGGTCAGAATTAAGAAGGCTAACAATTGAGCGAGATAATTTCTTTTATCATATACTCCCTCCATATCATATTCGTTGCCACATTGAAATTTACACACTATTCATGTACACTACTTTGACTACCTTTTATTTATTATTGTATGTGAATTATTATTTTTTGAAAAATATTGTTGAATTTGTCTCATTACAAAATTTCATAATTTGATTTTTAATTATTTTACTAATAGGGAATTAAATATAATGATGTTCAAAGTTGAGCACTAGTAAGCGTGAAAAAGGGAATGTTGCAACTAAAAAGAACGGAGGATAGTATAATGCTATTGGGTAGAAGATAAGTCACCTAATAATTGAGCGGGAGAACTCTCTCTCTCTCTCTGTAATATGTAGTGTTTTTCGGTATAAGGTAAGTCGACTAACAATTCAATGAGATAAAATTCTCTCTCATATGTAGTAATTTTAGATACAAGAAGATAAGCTTGCTAATAACTAAGTGGGAGAATTCTTTCTCTCATATGTAGTGCTTTTATGTATTAGAAGATAAACGGCTTGCTAACAATTGAGCGAGATAAATTTATATTCCATATGTTGTTCTATTTAGTATATAAGATAAGATAAGCCTACAACAACAATTGAGCGGGATATTTTTCTCTTTCATTTGTATTGCTTTTAGCTATAATAAGAAGCTAAAAAGATAAGCTTGCTAACAATTGACCAGGACAATTGTCTCTCTCATAATGTAATGCTTTTTAGTATAAGGTAAGATAAGCCATCTAACAATTGAGAGTGATTTTTTCTATCATATACGAAGTATAAGAAAGGAGATAGCTCATCTAAAGACAATTATACCCTTCATTAATCATATGTGAAATCAAAAAATACGTGTTTGGTGAAAAAAATGGTCGAGAAGCGTGATAAGCCAAAAAAAGGATTACCAAACGGGCTCTAAACTCTGATCCAAGTCAAACCAGGAATAATTTTATGGGACGAGAGAGTATTACTATTATTATTATTGTCGGTGAATCAAACCACCTTTAAAAGTAAAAAGAATGAGAATTTTAAAAAATCACATTTCATTAAAAATATAAATATACTTGAATTTCAATTTGGTCATTATTGTGAACTTTCAATTTTGCACATACAAGTTAGATAGACTTACGAAAGGGTTTCAAATGATTCCCAATTTAGCATCTAGAAGAATATTTGAACAAAAAAATACACATCTCTTACTATGTATTGGACCTTGAAAGAAACACTATAGTAGATTACCAACTAGAATACGAAGTCAAACCAAACGTGAAGAAACAACAAAATAAACTTGCGAAAACAATACTCACACTATTCATAATAATGAGTGGGAGAATTTCTCTGTTTCATATGTAGTTATTTAAAGTATGAGATAAGCCGACTAACAATTGAGCGTGCGAATTTCTCTCTCTCTCTCATATGTATAGTACATTTAGGTATAAGGTAAGTTGGCTAACAATTGAGCGGGACAATTTTCTCTCTCATATATAGTGTCTTTAGCTATTATAAGATAAGTTTGCTAACAGTTGAGCGGGGAGATTGAGGGTGAGAATTTGTTCTCTCATATGTAGTGCTTTTAAGTATTAGAATATAAGCTTACTAACAATTGAGTGAGATAAGTTTCTCTCTAATATGTAGTTCTTTTAAGTATAAGATAAGTCGGCTAACAATTGAGCCAAATAATTTTCTCTCATTTGTATTGCTTTTAGGTATAAGAAGCTAAGAATATAAGCTTGCTAACAATTGAGCATGTGAACTTTTTCTCTCATATGTAGTGTTTTTAGTATAAGGTAAAATAAGCCAGCTAACAATTGAGCGGAAGAACTTTTTCTATCATATATAGTTCTTTTATGTATAAGATAAGTTGACCACAATTGGGCAGAACAATTTCTGTCTTTCATATGTAGTGTTACACTTAGGATTAATTTTGTGGTGGTTTGTGAGGATAGTACTAGAGGTTTGGAGTAAGTACATTGGGTTCTACGAGACGGGTGTTACAGGTAGTGCTTTTAGGTATAAGGTAAGTCAGTTAACAATTGAGCGGGAGAACTTTCTCTCTTATATGTAAGAGTTTGGGTATAAGAAGATACTAATGCTAATAATTGAGCGGAAGAATTTTCTCATTCATATGTATTGCTTTTAGATATTAGAAGATAAGTTGCTAACAGTTGAGCGAGGAAATGGAGCGGTATAATTTTCTCTTTCATATGTAGTGTTTTTAGGTATAAGCTAATCCGACTAACAATTGATCGAGTGGGACAATTTTCTATCATATATAGTTCTTTTAGGCAAAAGAGAAACTGGTTGAGAATTTAGCAGAATAGTTTTTTCTCTCTCATATCTTAGTTCTAATTTAACTGATGAGTAGCAACTTCTTTTTCAACTAATACTATTCATTAATTTTAATAATTATTCTACTCACTTAAACTTTATGTCACTCACCTATTGTTCTCACTTTTTTCAGAAAAGTATTTAATTTTAAATTTAATTTAATCATGAAAATTTATAAGTAGTAAATTCTAATGAATGGTATGAATTGATTTTTCCTAATATACTCTTCATTGAATATGTATTTAACGGGCTTATACTTTATGGTATTAGCTTATTGTACTCTTATTTTTAAAAAATGTTGAATTCTATGAAGTACTTTTACTTTAATATTTAATTAAATCGTGTGTAAAAATATATGCACCAAATCTCCTGTACGTATGCACGAATACTATACTAATTTACCATAAGAATAAACATGAGTTTGTTGGTCATGAGCTGAACTTAAAATCGGAGTGGATGATCTAAGAGAAATTTACCATACGTGTGACTAAAAAGGGGTGTTTTTCCTAATATATGACTAAGTGAAGTTTTATTCCTATTCTATCACCCTCACATGATCATCCATCAGTCTTTTGATGTTAAATCAAAACAAAACCTTATTCTCATACATTCAATAGTAGTCATATAAGTGTAAATGTAGTTTTCTAGTATGGAAAACCACACATGTTTTAGTAATATTTCCATAATTCTCCCGTGATCTACTCTGAAGTCGAGTCAAACGGAACTATCACAGACGCTGCATATTCGCCTTCTTCACCAGTGAAAGGATCAGCCGCCACAACAGTTCAGATTGAGCCAGAATGGGACACGCCAGCTCAAAATCGGACCTTTCTTCTCCCGACGGCTCGAGGTCGTCTCACTTGTCCCGCGCGGGAAAATTTGGTCAAAGGCTTCACCTTCATCGCCACCATTTCCGTCGTCGGTGTAAAAGTTCTGGTCCCGATTCTGCCTCTCACCTGTCTAAGCTCCTCAAGGATGATGATTTCGCCGGCATCGCTTGCCTCCGTCTCGTTAAAGTACCTACCATCTCGCATTCTCTGCGAAATCACACGAATATGGATCTGTTCTTTGTAAACATCGAAGCAGTAATTCTAACTAGTTCATTTCGTTTTATTTCTTGCGTAGGCGGAGATGAAATTCAAGGACAAATGGCTTGCTTGTATCTCGCTTGGTCTACAAACTTTCCGCACTCATATATCTGACAAGTTAAGTAGCTCTTCCAGTATATGTATGGCTTCGGAAATAAAGTTCAAGAAATCCTAAAAGCCATAGCATCTCGCAAATCGTGTCATTTAATCATGAGATGAACAAGTTATGTATCCGTTCTCTGCACGCTGCACAGAGAATCGGGTGCATTGGGCGGTTTGAACCCTTTAGCGTTTGCAATAAGTGAAAACACTGCTTGTTAAATAAATTTTCAGCCTTAGCATTTTTGGACGGAACCGCTGAAATGAAAACGCGTAAAATAGGAGATTTTTGGGTTAACTTTTTGAAATATGGCGTTTTCTATCAATTGTTATGACCAAATAGCTAAATTGCCAAACATCTTCTGTCAACCCACCAACTTATTCGCTTGTCAAACCCGTTGATTGAATCCGCTATTAACAACCGGCTAACATAATCCGCTATCCGTTAACTGCTAACCACTAAATGCCAAACACACCCTATATGTTGGGAGCGAAGCTAAGAAATCCTAGTTATCTGTTTCTTTTTTCCTTGCACACACTGACATGCTGAATTCTGTTTTATATACAGCACTGACAAGCCTACATGGAACTCGGTAAGTCACCCCATGTCTACATATGATGATTGCCTTTTTTTAGTGTTATGCTTGTGATTCTCCATCTTCTTTATTCATATTAAATGCTTTTCTTTTCACTTGTTTATTGACATGGTTGTAGACATTCCTTGCAGGAGAGGAAACTTCTTTTAGAAAGAAATGGGGCATATGTTGTCAGAATCTCTGTGTTTGAGGTCTGTGCTCATTACTTGCATGGATGTTGAATTGAATGTTGCATTATTCTCAGTTCCTCAGAGAATCTATTCACCCAAAAATGGAACTTTTATTTACATATGTTACTTTTTAGTCATTGGGTATATGTTACTTACCCATGATATTTATGATAACATACTCTTATCTTGTACTTAAGCGGCAACTTTTTTATTTTAGTAAACTATCAATACATACTAAATAAAATAAACAGAAAAGAGGGCAGATATTAGTCTTATCTTATAGTCTGCTGATTAATATTTTATGTGATACAGACGAACAAGTTATCCAAGAACAATTTGGTTGGTTATTGTGAGGTTGATCTACTTGAATACCTTTCCCAGGTGTGCTGTTGGATGTTTATGTTCAGTAACTCCTAAAATTACAACCTTTTTCTTGAAATAATATTCACACTTCCCCTTCTATCCATCCCAAAATTATCTCCCATTTCCTTTTAAGGAAAACGTTTTGTGATACATATTATTTCTCTCTTATGAATAAATCTAAACCACAAAGTTTTCATTTTCATCATCTTCGTGTCCAGTCAAAGCAAGAGGGTGTTTATTTAGGTATGGCGGTTGTAGTTTGGATGTATATCACTGGAAAAAAATGAAAACTAAATAGTTTTGGTAAGATAAACTGTAGAGTTTTCTATATAAATATAATCTTTTCTTGTTCTTGTTTTTTTTAATTTCTTCAGTCTACACCTACTTCCTATTCTCCACCCTCATTTGGTATAGTAGGAAGAAAGGAGAGAGTTTGGTGTTATTTGTCTCTTATGTAATGCCAGTAGTTTTATGTTATCCTATTAAAATTTAGCTCCCATGCATTTTATCTAAATACATTTATTGGTACTCTTAAAAATTATTTATCTGCCGTTACTTGCTCAAAGATATTTTCTTGCAGGACTCTGATTCTGATGTTGAGGTCTTTGACTTATTAGATCCATCAACACCATCTTTAGTTGTTGGCTGTATATCTATTTCATGTTCTATTGAGGTACATAAATTGAGACTAGCCACTTTCTTCTTTGTTTTTGGGCATGAAAAATGCCAACCTGACACATTTTATCTAGTTTTATTTTTATGGCACTCTATTCCACATTAACCAATTTGCAGGATCCAGTTGAAACAGAAAAAAGTTTTACGAAGCGCATCTTGTCTATAGTGGTATGCCATTACTCAATTCCTGGCTCGTGCTGCTAAATATCCATAAGAACTTACATGAACTTGTGGCTTCATTTTTTATTTTGCTCTGTACATGCTCAATATAGATATGGAGGTTCATTTTGTTGATCATATTCAATGTTTTATGCTCTGTAAATGATGGAGGATTAAAATAATGTTTTCCTGGTGCTTCCTCCAGGACTATAATGAAGATGGAGAGCTTTCATTGAATGAATTCTCTGATTTAATTGATGCATTTGGCAATAAATTAGCTGCTGAAAAGGTCTGCATTTTTACTATTATATGTCTAATTTAAACTGATATTCCATCATTTGCAATGGAGCCAAATAATCACTATTTTTTGGCTTGGGAATATGATGGAATAAAGAAAAATGGATCACTAAACTGTCTGGGTTTCTTTGTTATGAAGCAGCAGTCAGTCCATGTAATTTTCGACGTGATTTTCACTATGGGTCATCCGGAAACTGTGCTTTAGTACAGGAGTAAGACTGCATACATCTGCCCCCCCTACCCCACCGTAAGTGGGAGCCTTTGTGGCACTGGGGTAATGATGATGATGATGTCAAATTTAAACTGAATTTGCTCAACCACTTGTGCTGAAATTAATTCCTCCAAAGTGCAAACTTAAATGCCACATCTTTTGACGATTAACTTATGCTCTACTTAGTATTTCTTTCTTCTCTTTTTATTATCAGAAAGAAGAGCTATTTAGAAAGGTTGACAAAAATGGGGATGGTGTTGTCAGTTTGGATGAGTTGGCTATGCTTTTAACTGCACATCAAGAAAAGTAAGGGTATAATTTGAACCTTGGAGTGTTTTTGTGCCACCTTCACCCTGCATGTTTTATAAGGTTAAGACTGAAGGATTTTTAACTTCCGATGGAAATTAGGTTGCTTTTAGAACAACTTTGTCAAACTATAGAGAGTAGGTCATGGCTTGGGTTCTCCTAATCTGGTCGGTTTTTTACTTTTTCTCAAATCTGTTTTCTTTATATTCTTAGATACTGTATATGAATCCTATTGTTAGATTTTTTTATCTTTTGTTTATCGAATCTTGAGCTTGTAATTCTTTCCTCATAGGGAGCCACTCATCAACTGCTGCCCAGTTTGTGGCGAGGTTCTTGAAATCTCTGATTTGTTGAACAGCATGATTCATTTGACACTGTGCTTTGATGAAGGAACTGGGAACCAAACTATGATGGGGGGGTTCCTCACTGACAAACAGGCTTCCAGTGGGTTAGATCTGATTTTTTTCGTGCTTATATCTTGAACTAGTTGATGTTGCTTATAGTTATGATATAATACTTTTCCTTAGAGGTTCTTGGTTTGTGTCGTACATAATGTGCTTTAGATGGATGTTCAAACTGAGTGAGTGGGCACATTTCTCAACATATGAGGTTGGTTTGAGGTCTGGTTCCAGTGCTTCACATATATTGGTATGTTCTCTACTGCTCTCTAATTTCTGTCATCCCTACAAGAACCAACATTTCTTCCATGGTTCTATAGGAACTATGCATCCTTGCATGGAGTCCTGAATTGACCATAAGTTTTTTAGGTGAGCTAAAGATATTGATGTCGTCAAGGTGCCACATAACAAGCTCTAATTTGATTTCTTCCATGGTCAGGTATATGATCGAAAAATGAAGAGGCTGGTGGAGGAAATTATAGATGGGAAGATTGTACTGTCAATGAGAGCCATTTATCAATCTAAGTTTGGGCTTGGTCTTATGGATAATGGTATGCTTTATACTTTTTAATACACGATCTTGTTTAATTTTACTATATTTATTTCTCTATCATAGTAGCTTTTACTGATCTTATCAACTTCCAGATCTCTTTCATGTAATCTATTCAACATATATTGTCCCACTTTTGATGCAGGGGCAAAAGAAATCCTGCTGAACCTCTCTGAAAAGCAAGGGAAAAAAATGGATGCTCTTGATTCTGCTAAAGATATACCAAAATTTCTTGAATTGTTTAAGGTATCCATCTCATGCATTCTCAAGTGTCTTCTGCTCTCTCTGTATCCTCAATTGTTAAATATATGCATTATTAGTTTTATCTTCTTGCTTTTACTTCCTGTCCAAACCTTCAAGTGAAGTCTAAGTACACAGAGAGATGTCATAATAAAGTTTGGATTTACCTGAAAACATCCCAACTGCTTTGTTCAGTTATTCCCCATAAATAATTTATTTGGATAAATAAACACTCAATTTTCTCATACCACTAGTGATGTGCGTCATGCCTGAGGCCTCCACATGACCTGCATGTGGATTGCCAGGATTTTAAGGTCACCAGGATTGCCATTACAAGGAAATATAGGTTTTATTTTCAGCATGACCCGCTGTAGCAACCCAGAAGGAGTGAATTTCTAATTGCAAAAGGTAAATGAATTTATCTTTTTTTATCTTCTTTATCTTTTTTATGTTCTTTATCCTTTTATCCTTTTTATCTTATACTCCGTATTTTTTATCCTTTTTGTCTTATCATTTCTATCTTTATCTTATATTTATTTTATCTTTGTGTTAACTTTTTTTTATCTTGCCTTGTCTTTTTATCTTTCTTATCTTTCTTTTCTTTTAGCTCCGGTTTCATGTGTCGATTCATGTTAGCCAACTCCAACCTCTATTGGGACTAAGGCTTGGATGTTTTTGTATTATTTAAGAATAACCTCTCAAGGGTTAGTTTTGTCAAGAGTATTGATTTTGAGACTCACTGACTCACTGGTCATTTTTCCTGTAATAGTAATTTTAGTACATGGCTGAACTTAGTAGACTATGGAAGAAGATACATATCAATTAAGATATACTACTTGCAAGTAGAAGATAGTACATAATGATACGCAAATATTATTTCAAGTCAAACATCTTAACACTTTAAAAGTAAATCTATGATTTGACGATTTGTCTTTGTCAGCCTCCTCAAGACAGACTACCCCTGGGTAAGTCACATCTTGGAAAATAGGAGTTCGGCGCAGTGTGAGCGTGTGACAACGTGAAGGAACAGATGTTGTGGCAAAACTAGCAAGGGTGGAGGTGAAGCTGAATATGATGGATGTCTTATTTGAGGGAAAAGGGAGCATAAATCAGGAGAAAATGTAGGAGTACATCCCTTCTTTTTGGAGGAAGAAGCAGTATATGCTTGTTCTTTTTTGGGGGGGGGGGATATTTTTGTTTTGTTGTTCAGGGTTGATATTTGATAGCTCGGAAGAGAAGTGGTTTCTGTTTTTTGTTCCAAGGTTTACAGTGCGTTACACTGTTTGTGTAGTTTAGGAATCTGGATGTAGAAGGTGCGGAGGTGGAGCACGAGAATGAAGTTGTCGGTCAGTGTAACAGAATTGTAGTCAAGATAAATATAGAGGAGCATGGACCGATGGAGGAAATTGTTGGAGCAACCAGGGATCCCTATTGCACTTGACTCATCTAGAATATTTTTTCGAGATTTAACTCACTATAGGTGAACCTGTCAAGAAGAAGATATGTGTCAGCCAAAAGATAAGTACTAGCTCAATGGCTGATCGAGTCTAAAGAGATAAATGAGAGAATCATAACTCCCATTGTGCACACCCTTTGTGTTCTTACTAGCCTTGCCCTAACATGCCACCTCACTGTTCTTCGTTTTTTGGAATTCATGTAATCATGTGTTACATGCGTAGTGTATCTTTAATAATTCGTTATTGCCTCATGTTCTGGCTAATGGCTAATTCAGTCTTATTAGTGGTGTGTCGGTTTTAGGCACAATTACTCTTGTTCTTATTATCTCTATTGATTGCTGATTTGCTGTAGGATCAAATCAAAATTGATGAGGTCAAGTACCCACTGGAGCATTTTAAGGTGGGCTCTCACTTTCACTCTACCTGGAATTTCATTTGATGATAACATGGTGCATACTCAGTAGGACTGTTGATGTTTGATTTCCATATGCCAGTTTGTGTGTAAGGTTTGGTAACAAAACAACAACATCCAAGCCTTAGTCCCAAAAGATATTGGGGTGTCCCAAGCCAGGATAAAGGAGGAGGGTGCTGTGGTAGGCGTGTGACGGCCAACAGTATCACCTAGTCACATCACATGACATGAATCGAAATATGAATAAGGTTTGGTAACAAAGTAGATTAAAAATTAGTGGGCGAAGACCTAATCACCTTTTGAGTTCTGAGGTTTACTGGGAACAGTTTTGCCTGTGCATATATGTGAACAACAAATAGTAGTAACATATTGTTTAAATTTCTTTGAACATAATATCTTCATAATAAATATGATTTGTTAACACTTAACAATGCTCTAATGCCAGTTTTTTTGAGAATATTACCTGAAATAGGACTAAAACAGTTTGAAAATTCCAAAATATGACTGCCATGTTTTTATTCCCAAAATAGGACTAATTACTGTCATGTTTTGGCAATACCAGACTTCAAACATGGCAATATTTTCTACACTTGGCAGTAATTACTCCTATTTTGGGAATAAAAAACATGACAGTCCTATTTTGGAATTTTCAAACTGTTTTAGTCCTATTTCGGGAACTTTCCCCAGTTTTTTCTAAGATAACACATACTACGACTCCTGTAGACGGCAGACCTCAGGTTAATAGTTTTAATCGTTTTTTGGAGTTCACATGAAACACAAAATCAAGTAAATGACCTCATAAGAAGTTTTTCCCACTAACATCATATGGAAAGATGATCAGGATGTTATTCGGCCTCCGTGGATTCTCAAAACAGAAGTTATTCCTTTTTCTTCCTACATGGCTTTTCTATGTTGTTGTCGTCCTCACATTTGTTACTCTCGAGAAATGTGCATAGTTGGCCATGATGCAGCTTTCCTATAGTTAAATTTTCTACTGTGTGCTAAATTGCTAACACAATGTTAATGTTATGCTTGCTTTATCCTACACATTGGAAAAATCTTGTAACCTAAGATCAAGAGCTTCAAATCCCATCAAGTATTCATTTTTACCTCAGACAGGGAGGAACTGTTTCAACTAAATCAGGGTTGTGGTAGGCTCTCTGCCAACAATATTTTTGTCATACTCTGGGAGAATATAGACCCTTTTGGTGGGACCCTTACCTGAACCCTCGGCTAGTCGGCTTGTGGGGACACCAACATGCTCCGGACTGTCCTTTTCTTACCCTTGGAGAAAATAGAATTCATCTAGCAAATCCAACTGGACGGGTTTAAGAGTTATGTTGCCCCGTGAGAAGAAAATCTTGTGCTCTTTTCTGAGTATTCCCTATTCCGATGTTTTCCAAAATCCATGCACCTCTTAATTTTGAAATATATTTTCACTTTTAAGCATTCACCCAATCAGTAACAGTATATGTTTTCTTTTTTAATTTAAAAATATTCTCGACACATTGTTAATCTGTTCATACTCACAATTTCTTTCTAGACATTCAATGAGTTTTTCATAAGAGAACTGAAGTCTGGTGCACGCCCAATTACCTGCCCGGAGCGCAGTGACATCGCTGTATGTGCAGCTGATAGCCGCCTTATGGCGTTCAACAATGTTAATGATGCTGCAAGATTCTGGATTAAGGTATAAAATACTTCCATTTTAAAATTAATCTATTATTAATAGCAAGCGTGTAACCACACATACAAATACAAAAGGTTATGTTTGCTTGCCGCGTACAATTGAAGAAGCATGTGCTATTTCAATGGCACACAAAAGCTTTAACCTAATTTTCTGATCTTCATACGAAATACAATCTAAAGAGAAAAGGGTCAAATAAGGCCTTCTACCATTATGAAATAGTCATATAAGGTCATGTACTCAATAAAGTGTCATATAAGTACCTCTACTTGTATAAAGCAGTCAAATGAGTCCTAACGGCTTATTTAACACCTCCTAATCCCGATTTTAGCTTACATCTCGATTTTTTTGACTTGTATTTCAACCAATCTTAGTTAAATATTCAACATATGCCGTATAATGTATTCTAAAAAGATGGTCAGAAGTACGTTGAAACTGGGATTAAGAGGTGTTAAATAGGTCATTAGGACTCATTTGATTGCTTTTTACAAGTAGAGGTACTTATATGACACTTTATTGAGTACATGGCCTTATGTGACTATTTCATAATAGTAGAAGGCCTTATTTGACCCTTTTCTCCAATCTAAATGATCAATATAGCTCAAAGTAACTTGAATTTATAATGCTAAATTAGACTGGTAGCAAATTCTACATTATAAATCTTTATAACATGAAACATTACCTTAGGGCCGAAAATTTTCCATCCAAGGGCTTTTGGGTAATGAAGCCTGCTCCAGTGCATTTGTTGATGGAAGTTTGGTGATATTTAGGTTGGCACCACAGGTAGTCTCAGCTTTCATTGTTTTCCAGTGATAAGCTTTATCTTTCCAGATAGTCTCCAAATCCTGTTAATACATCGATCTGGACTCATTTCAGGATTACCATCGTTTTCATTTTCCCGTCTCTGGAACTATTGAGAAATTTGTAGATATTCCTGGATGCTTGTATACAGTACGTATAGTATTTATTTTCCCTTGGATCATATTTAGTATCGATATGACAGTTCTCTTTACTATTCAATACCATCCTGAGTCCCCACTGCCACATGTGCTTTTCCTTCCAGGTGAATCCTATTGCTGTCAATAGCAAGTACTGCAACGTTTTCACAGAGAATAAGAGAGTTGTATCAATAATTTCATCAGAGGACTTCGGAAAGGTTTGGCATTTTGATAGTTTGCTGTTTGCCTGACATTCACTACTATGCATTTTATCTCACAAAGAACAATAAGGCTTTCTGTTTTTAATAGATTGGTGTGTTGTCAAACCAATGGATAATTGTTGCTTATTTCATTTCTTCCTAAACCAATGGCATTTTAATCAATATAAGGAGTTTTAGAACAGCATGAACACAGTGATTAATTGTCTGAGGGCAAATGGGCAATAGTCCATTTTCTGTGATCAAATTATTTGTCCTGGAATTTAGCTTTGGTATTCTGTACTATTTTAGCATGCATATCATCCCTTGCAGTTCTAAGATATTCAGTATCGAATTGTGCATTAATGTCTTATGCAATTTCACATTTCAAAGAATATTTTTATCCAAGCTGCACACATACATCATACAGCTTGCACTACACAACCACCTTGAAAGAGATGTTAGGACATAGTTTATGCATAAACTCCATAGACTCCTTTATCACCGGGGGGTAATTTTTTTACAGTTAGGGTCTGTTTTGCTAGAGGTTTTGAGTGGAATGTTTTGGAGGGCTTAGTCTATATATTGATTTGTATATTTGACATTTTATTCAAACTGAAAGATGAAATAATATGATTGTATATGATTTCAATCACCTTTTATTCACTTATTGATAGCATTCTATTTATCATTATATTTAGACTATGGGCTAAGTCTTCCAAAGCATTCTTCTCAAAGCCCCTCCAATACCTTTTACCTAAACATGATGGAAGGTTTTAGATAGGTTTGGAGGGGAAGGCATTGGAGGGCTTTGTCTATATCTTGATAATGGGAAGGCCGGAAGGAATATTATTTTAATCTTTCTTTTTTAATTATTGTAGTTCAAGATATAGTTTATCCCTCCAACAACCACTTAACTTTGAGGCTGTTAATAAACATTTTTCTTTTTGAAAACACTGTTTATGAAGTCAAACTCATTCCTCGTCATCCGGGTAGCCTGCGCCTTCTTGCTTGTTGCTTTTCTCAATCATTGGTGGCCAAGATGTCGTTATTTTCTCTATATTGACTTTAATTTAGTTGTTTCTAGCGTAAATTTGCATTTTAAATGCAGGTTGCCTTTGTTTCAATTGGAGCAACAATGGTTGGCAGCATCACTTTTTCAAAGAAGGAGCATGACTATGTTCACAAGGGAGATGAGGTTTGCAATTGATGACATGAGCTTTTACTACACCTTTCTCATTTGTATTTTGTTCCACCCGGGTTTACCTATCCTTTTGAACCACTGTTTTGCAGTTTGGATATTTCTCTTTTGGTGGAAGCACTGTAATTTGCGTCTTTGAAAAGGTAAGTGAACTAGCGCCTGATTCAATAGAAAATGAGCACACTTGTGTTATTGCTTGTCCACTATTATATGTAGTATAATATAGTTGCTGCCTTTGATCTCTTTAGAATGACTAACTTTGCACACTTTAGCCTGAGTGACCTCTTCAAAAAGTGAAAAGTTAGCTGAAAGCTGAAAAACCAGTGGTTATAAGTAAAAGTTGATTTTTTTAACGATGAATGAAATGGTAAACATAAAGACACAAAAGATTAGGGTTTTAAGGCCTTGTGCATTAGTAAAAACTAGTTTAAGCTTATCCCTCCATATATATTATTAAAGCTATTAGCTTTACCAACTTTAGCCTGAGTGCCATGTCACTCTGCACCTAATGAAGTTTTCTTATCTCAGACACGTTATAACTATCATCCTGTTGTATAAAATCTTGTGAAGTCTTCCAAACATAAAAAACAATATCCTACAGTCTAGTCAAAGTTTGATATTGAAGAGCTTTTTATTCAATTGTAGGGTTCCATAAGGATAGATGAGGACCTCCTGGAAAACAGCGCACGATCACTTGAGACATTAGTTTTGGTTGGAATGCAGTTAGGGGTATCCATGAAGAAACATGCTGATGTCAAGTCTAAACTTGAAAACCTTTCTTTAGGCACATGACTGAGTTTTCTTTCTATGCATATTTATTTAGTTGGAGAAACAAACATTAATATGATTGATCTGATCACACAATCATATTACTCAGTAATATGTCATATTACTCAGTAATATGACTGGTTCTTTAGGCCATGAAACAAACATCAATATGACCTTAATTACACATAAGGTGGATATCTTCATCTACTGATTGATCTGATTGTTTATTATTGTTAAAGCTTTAGCTTAAAACCGATTATAGGGAATGATTGGCGCCGAATATTAGTTCTCTATCGTTGGAATTGTTTCTCATGCCGTTGTTGACTACTTTACATGTCTTCTGTCATTTTTGTCAATGTTTTACGTGAAAATTGTTTGGCCTGTCAAATTTTTATAAGGAACATCCGGGCGATAATTTTGAAGTTTTCCTATAAACCTTTGAATTTGATACTTTTGAAGTTAGTTACATAAAAAGCTTGTTATAATACTTCATAAAACATAATGTTATATTTCCAGTTTTTAACTGTTCATTTCATCATTTGTTTAAATTGTCGCCGGTATTTCAAGTGACTGACATTCTGAAATCTACGAATCTTCTTTAGGGAAAAAACAGTTAACTGTTACAGGTATATTGGTCTTGACACAAAAAGCTTCTCTACAGGTAGTAAGTAGCACTAGTAGCCATAGTAGTAATTATACGGTTGAGTGGTGTGTTGGACCTTCTCTAATCCTACTTGTCCCTGCATTCCATTCCTTGCGTATTGTTGCCACATTTGCTGCTCTTCTAGTAACAGTCTCTGTTTCTTATCTATATCTGACATCTGCACGTACGCTGGTGGCGCTACCGAAAGTGAAGCAGTGAAAGGGTCTGTTCCTAGTGCTGAATTGGCTGCCCCGTCTGTGGATGGTGGAGCCGGCAGTGCTAGCATTGCCGGCTTCCCGGCTGACCCGAACGCGACACTACTTGCACTGCCTGTTGCTATGATGCCAGAGGACGTAACCGCCTGGTTTAGCACTCCGTGATGATACATTCCATCTAGCATCAATTGATCGAAGCCACCTGGAAGTTGTACCTGCCAAGTCATCCCAGAATATATATCACCTATTAGCTTGGACCTTTTAAGGTGTATCAAATTAAGTCTAAACCACTCTCAAATGATATCCAAGAAGTAAGGTTTATCTCATACAGGTTTATCTCATACTTAATGTTGTATATAAGACTCGGATATGGGAAATATCTGAGATGGGACACCTTAACACACCGAGTAGCCTAAACCAGATTCAACAACTGAGAGATGGACAAATGTGATAAACTAACTCGAGACGAACTCTCCTTAATACCAAGTGTCAAACTAAAAAAACAAATGGCAGTTTAATCAAGCTTAGATACTTCATTGAATTGGTCCCAGCTCACCTAAAAAAGATCCTAAGAGGTGAGGTTTAGCTTATCCAAACTTGAATAAGGTGTGAGAACATATTAATCACATATGGGGATACAGATCATGTCAAGACTTAAAAAATGAGCACACAGACTGACAGACCATGATAAAATTAAAAACAAACACAGATCATGCTAAAACTAAAAACGAGCATACAGATTTGGAGTCCCAATCTTGCGACAAAAACATAAAGATGAAAAAAACTAAATGTTACCTTCTGGTTTGATAGATGGCTAGTGGATTGAACGAGAGCGGTTTCCCAATCACCGGTGAAGGCTTCCCAGGGAGTTATGGCTGTTGTTGCAGCAGGGGGAGCTGTTGCTGGAGCACCGTCAAACAAGGCTAAGGCTAACTGGTTAGCGTGTTCTTCTGGTGTGGGAGCATCTTCTCCCAAGTTCAACAGATCTCCTATTTCTTGTTCTTTCTTCTCCTCCTTTGGTTCCTCCTCTTTCTTTTCTTCAAAGAAGTCCTCAGGAGGCGGCGGCGGTAGTGCTTTTGTTGCATTTGCGTCTTCTTCCTGTTCTGGTTCCGGTTCTGGCTCCTTATCTTCCACTTTTGGAGGCGAAGGCTCTCTGCTCTTCATTTTTCTTGCCCTCTCCATTTTCGTTTTCTCCCGGATTATCTCTTCCATGATGTCAAGTTTCTTCTTTGGATAATTCTCCATGTCTGGGTAATCGGATAATCGTGCAATCCCTGCAGATTTACTCCACTCGTAGAACATCTCAAGTTCATCATATTGCTTGGAGACGCGGTAGAAAATCTCGTAGACTTTCCTGGAATCAGGAATGTCAAGCTTCATGAATCGGTCTACCAAGATCCCAAATATTTCTGCCATTGCGTAATATATTTGGAAGCTTTCCCTCACGATTTGGTACATCGCGACAAACACTAGCCTGTTGTGCTTTGCAGCCCCTGCAAGTTCTCATGCACAGAAGATGTATTTCCATGAGAGATGACGGGAGACTAATCATTTTGAAAACTGTTTTTCAAACGAAAAACTTCTAATTATTCCCTATTTATTTAGCCATTCTAATTTTATATTCATAACTTTCATTTTGTTCCTTCAATTTTTGTGCATGACTATGATTTTGTTCTCATCTTTTATCCTTTCTGGTTGCCACTTTAAAGGCAAAAATTATCAAGATTCTGAAATCGTACTGAAGCGGTTTAAGTATGTGGTCGGAAGGATCATAGGCAACAAAAATTAGAGAAATGAATGTTTAGGATCGAAAGTGAAATAGTTTAGTTTTCATATGTTATTTCTAATTTTTGAAAAACAGTATATATACACACATTCATAGAAACATTGCTGGCGCATACCTGCAGGTCTGCAAGCTAAGAACCGATCAAGAATTTGCATGCAATGCTGAGTTCTCGAGAACAAATGCTCATTCTTCATTTCTGAAACGGGAGTGGTCCTCACAACAATGGCTCCTGGGCCTACTTCCTCATCGTCTTCTTCGTACGTGAGCGCACCGTGTTTCCCTCGGCGGGTCTGCATTCGGAATTCTAGCTGTTCGTCGAGGTACAATGAGTACGTCCTCACAAACGCCGAAAAGTCCCATGAGTTAGAGCGGGAGTCACGGAAATCAGACATGTTCAGGAGGCGGGTCCCGCGCCGGGTGGCGAAGAAGAACTCCTGCTCGTAGGATTGGTCACCGTCAATGAGCAAGCGGTGGATGACCATAAGTGACTTGAGCGCGACAACCCAATTCTTTGTCTTGCTGAGGCGGCGGGAGATGGTGCTCACACATGCACCCACATACGCACGTGAGTAGCACGTGAGACAAAGAATCTCCCGGATGTGCTTCTCTTCCGGCGGGTATTCCTCGTGCCGGGTTGCCTTGACAATGGCGATCTCGAGCTCCGAGAGGGAAGCGCTGCCGCCTACTTTGGCCAGGCTTATGCTTGTCTGGTCTTTCACAGCCCCTATCGCCTTCCTCAATTTACTCGGAGCCATGATATTATTTTACGTAATTATTATGAATTTAGCTATTTATTCGTTCGAAACAGAACTAATAATAGGATCAATGAAATAATTTCAATGCATGCATGGGAAGCTAACAATGACATGCATGCAGAATGTAGGAAAGTTGTTTATTGAGGGAGAAGAAGAGAAGAAAATGATGTATCCTCAGCTCTTCTCCTCTTGAAATGTAAGATCCTAAATGGATTTTGTTTCTCTCTTATTTGTCCCTTTCTTTTATATGTTTTTGATTTGTTGGTGATCTATTGACTGGTTTCTATTGACCCTTCAATACTTCAATCTATCTCAGCCCTTGTTGCACGAACATGGCGGGCGTTGAAAGCAAGTCAAAAGCTTTTCCAATCAACGGTGTATGTTTTATTTCGATGATGACTTTAAAATCCCTTTTTTTTGAAAGGAAAATTCCATTTCTAGACAATTGGAATTTAATAAATATAAAAATGATTTTCGAATTGAAAACATAAACATCTAAAATAAACCATCGTTCAAATCCGATGTCAATATACAATTATACTTATGTTTATAATACATACAATTAGGCTCTACCGTACCACAATATAACAGTTAGTTAGTTGAAACATAAATAAATTATTAAATTCTTGTAGAGTGGGTGGGCATTATGTATAAATAATACTCCATCCGTCTCATTTAAAGGTTCTCGTTCAACGTGCATTGTTCTTAATCTTTTACTTTTTATATCCATTTTTATCAAATTTTAATTTTTTTGATCAGAATTTGTAGGGGTTTTAATGTAATTTCTGAATATGTAAATTTTATTTACTAAAAATAATTCTAATAATGATAGGGATCAATTACCTTTATGGTCAGTCAAACTTTGCAAACCGCGTGAGAACGTTTAAATGGGACGGGGTACATTAATACATATTTCACATTAAACTCATTAATTAGAGCACTCGGGTGGCCTTAAACGCAAGATTACACCTTGAAGGGGTGACATGAATAGCTCTTGAGTCTTAATAATTTCATTATTTCACCTCCAAAACTATTTGATCGCTGCTACTTATGGAGCTATTACGTTTTCCCTTTCAATGATGATCTAGCAAATTTGTCATGGGTTGATAGTTTGACACAATTGTTTTATCATTAAAACTTTGTTATGCAACAATGTTGATTTCATGAAAAATTTGCGACATATTTATTATTTTTTGCAGTGATAGTTAATTTAATGTTACATTTAGTCCGAAAATTCAGGATATAGAGTATAGAAAGTGAAGATATGTATATGAACACACTTTATTGATTGGAACTCATGATCATTAGTTAGTGACTGCTGTAACCCAGAAAGAAAACGGAACAAGTATTAATTTTAGTACGTACACAAGAATATATGTTCATAAGGAAAATATATTGATAACGAAAATATATGCTGATAACGAAAATAATCGCTCTTGTCAAAATAATTGCATCTAAACGTAATTTCAAAATAACATCGCTTTAACACCTCATTTTCCTTTGACATGCAAACGCACTATTTTAGATACAAATTGTGCAAAATACAAGCAACACGGGAAGGATTCTTGAGACTGGGTTTCCCCGGTTAAAACCCTGCAGATTATGATTGTTTAATCCGAACTGCGTCAACATATCGTGTGTTCAATTTCTTCAATTTCTGTTTTTTGTTGACATCAAAGTTTTTGAATCCGCTACCTTGACTGGACTATTGATATAGTCTGACAACAATGGCTTTAATTGGAAAGTGACAAAGTTTTTTGGGACAATAAAAAAGGAAAAGTTGACAAAGTTCAATGAGAGTGGAATATTACTTTAATTTTGGAGTTCTTCATCTAGATAAAAATATGATGTTTATCACAATTATTAAGCCGGGTTACTATACAATTAACACTGCTCCACTTGCACAGCAAAACATATAACACGTTTGTAAGAGTAGCTTGATTTATACCTAATTTAATGAAAATTTTAACGTCTCATTAACTCAATTTCAACCAAATAAGTCAAATGGTACCCTCAATTAAGTTTATTGTCCTTAGTTTGGTGATTAATAAAATAAGCAAATATTGACCTCTTAGTCATGCAAGGATCCACAGTTTTGTTTTGTTTCTCAACAACAATCTCATAAAAGCAGATCACAAAATCAATGCGATATGATTTTTTAGCAATCAAGAAAGGAACCCAATTTACCCAACCGTTAATACGAATGAATGGCCGAGTCCTAAGACTGATTTGGTTAAGTAAAATACCCTTTTAATGTGCCTAACTTTGCCTCATAGACCGTGTAAATTAAAATTGAAAATTTAATGCGGTTTGATTTTTTTATTTAATTAGGGGCTTTAATTCAAGAGCTCAGTCTAAATAATTGAAAGAAGTAAATTCTAGTTGTTCCAACAATCTGCAAGTTTCACAAAATCTCAAAGGCCTATATATGTACATCATAACCCATAATTAATTGATTGTCTTCACGTCTACTTAAGTTTTCAACATAACTCTCGAGAGAATCACAAGTGTTGATCAAATGCCGTCAAATTCCTAGCAAGAACTTAACTCTCACACATTCATTTGACTTGAGGCGGGATAAAATAGTGATTGCGTACTTGCGTGACCACTCAAACTAGCATGGGGACTAGATAATCATCATTTGAGAAAATCGTTCGAAACTCACTTACTTGGTGTCTTGAACTAAAGACTCCCTTCAGATCTGTACGAGTAAGATCTTGAGTGTGGATGTAATTCATTTGAACAACTCTCACTGGTCACGTTATAATTAATTAGCCACACATGTAATATCCTGAAATAATAATTTAACCGCCGAAATAAAACATACGCTTTTGATATTATTGTTAAGTGTTTTCATACTTGATAAATTTATCATTAATTACTCGGTTCAATTTAATTATTCTATTTGTTGTTCCATATTACTTGTCTTAGCTTATTTTCTTTAAAAAAAATGGACAATTGAAAAGCTCTAACCTACAAAACTTTCTTTTACTATTAGGAAGGGATCTTGATAAATTTAAGAACTACGTATCAATGAACTTGTGACAATAAATGCATAAATAAAAGTATAGGCCATATCCTTTATGGCTTTATCAATGAGATTGTGGCCATCTATAAAAGCATTAAATTACTCCAATAAAGTGTACCCTTTTGGGTTACAACCTATAACACTTTAATTTGTTACGTGAATCAGCCCGGGCCATATATTATGCTCATAAGAAACAAGTCAAAATCACGAGTTAGCATTGAGACCCTATTGTATATGTGTGCGGTTAGCATTATTAATACACTTCGTTATATATGCATGCACAGACTGTATTTCCAGCTCACTTTTTCTCTCATATTTTTATCTTTCCAATAACAATTTAGCAATAACTTTGAATTTATGGCAACTTTAGTCCACGCCAAGAATATCGTTAACTATATCGAATTTGTATTATTTGCAATTAATGAAATTAATTCAGTTTGTACATAGATCTGAAGTGCAATATTAATAAATCATTTTTTTCTGTTGATATATATCATTGCTGATATATATCATAGTATTATTAATTATTCTCACTTTAAATATGCATCTCTCCAACTCTATCTAGCAAAAAATTACTATTTGTGCACAATACAATACTAATTATTATCGAATGAAGTGTTGTCACTTGCCAGCATGCTACATTATATTCGTACACCCAGATCTCTCAGTGAGTCGGTTTGGATTGTAACATGTGGTTCCATACTCGGACCCACTAACATATTTATGATTTCAGACTCAGGTAGACTCGTCCAAAATAAATTAGACACATAGACCTATATTTGATTGACTCATTTAGCGAGGTTAAAAGTATAAAATGATTGAAATGATAGAAATACAATCAAGAGTTTGAAATACTATTGTGTAATACTTCATAGGTACACCATTTTGATAAAATAAATCCAAGAGCGATTGCAAAATTAATTACATTATTTCTCGTTGAAAATGAACCAACTAAAAAGATAAACAAACATGTGCTTTCCAAATAATAGAGGATATGTCATGTAGAGTGTATATAATTGAGGGTTTGTACGTGTATGAATAGTAGGTTTATTCGAATTTCTAATGGGTTCAGGTCCTTAACGGATTGGAATCACATGTACAAAACCGACTCAATTATAACATAAAATGATGAGGTCCTGCAAGTGCCTAATCAAGGCAAGTGCCTAATCCAGGAATGTTGTGCATCGAAAGTGGTGACATGCTAAGGTATTTGTTGCATCATTGAACAACATCTTCCTAATTAAATTGACCCATTGCACTAGGCTGTATACTCTATGAGGGGAGCAAGTAGCACATCGCTATCAGTGATTGCTTTTATCTTAGCGATAAATTCTTGAATCATACATAGACACATTCAACCTTGAAGCATTTAAAGAGTGTAGCCTTAGCTTGTAGTACGTGATAAAATGGATGTTTTCTTGAGAAATCTTTCACGATCGATATTGAGCAAACTTTTGTCAATCATATCTAACTATTTTTTATCATCCTTTCAAAAAGACTAGATTTCATCATTTCCTAAAAAACTACATTTCATTATTGATGAATTAATACTTTAAGGTCTCTATTGCAACTTCAATAATTCCTTAATGAACTTTGATATTTATAATACTTATAAATGTGTGTATTAAAGTTCTTTGTATAAATGAACTTAGAGTTTGTTCCCCTCACTGATTCCCCAAATCGAAATAGGCAATCATTTTTTTTTTGACACGAAATGAAAATTATATTCATTTGTAGCTTATGTCCTTGCGTTCACCACACAATGATTTGCAAGAATGTTTCTGGAGCTTGGCAACCAATGCACAATGAAAGCTACTACACACTCAGCAAACATAAGATTCACTCTGTCCAAATCACAATCAAAAAAACAAATCATAGAAGAATAACCCCATGTTAACTGAATGTTCTTCTCTCTAGTGAGTATGAATGACCACCCTAGCTATCCGCGGAGGGATGGATTGATCAACAATGAGATGGTGAGAATGAACTTTCCGGCAGAAAGACTCTAGCCGCTTTGGAAGAGGAAAGAAGAACGACGACATGCATGGTAGAATTGTTAGGCGAGAGAATTAAGTGGAGAGAGATAACCTTGCCATTCAAAGGGTTGCGCATGCACACGATCACATCTTCAAGCCCTGTCTCTTCCTCCAGCTTCTCACTCAATTCCT